TTTCCCTACTTTTCGTGAAGGCGATCGTGACAATTATTTGGGCTAGTAACGCTTTTGGTCTGAGGAAAATGCGCAAATTTTGTTGTGAAATGTGTGGAAATGATGAAGTGAAGGCGTCATGGGAAGCGAATTATACAGTTACAATTTTAGAAGTAATTAATGTGTTGTTTTTAACGCTTTAATCGTCGGGGAATCCATTAGTGGTCTGTTGATGTTGTAGAAGAGCTTTTACGGCCCGAGCTGAATAAAAGTGAGGTTGGATTCATGTATTTTGGTTAGTGTTCACACCCCCGACAGATTTATGAGTTTTCTCATTTCTGAGCGAGTATTGACCGCATAAATCCTATTCGTCACAATTTTGATCGGAATTCTTAATTTAATTTACTTTACTTTTGTGTTCCACTGTGGAAAAGTTGCTGCTGAAAAATTGCCGAACCAAAGCTGGTTTCGAAACACGAATACTGTGCAAGAAGCATATTTCTCTTTCTGAGCTTCTTTCGCGCCTTTTTGAGTGAAATGTGTGCTTCCGAGTTTATGACGAATCATTCCTCTGCGATTGAAGAAAAATCGATTGAAACATGAATTGATTATCAATATATGATGCAAGAATCCCGGTTTATCCTATCGTGACTTGAGTTTTTTACAAATTAAATTTTTGAAATCAGATTTTTGTGCGGATTCGAGACAGCGCATAAGAAGTGTTAGGAGACAGAACTGAAAATTTCAAAGCATTTTAAACCCTCGTTGTCAACATTGCTTAAAATTCGTATTAATGCTTTCGAAGTTCGTACGAGATTATTGCATATATTTTGGAGGTTGACTGACATTTTCTTTTTACTGTGGCCATTATTTTCACGGGTAATTTTTACTGAGATGGCCAAATAAACCATAATTTAGTACCTAAGTTGAAAATTAAATCAAGACGCTTCACACGGAATGCAAGTAAGATGTCATTTGTTAATGATCAGCTTCTGCAGTTTCTTCAATGTCGATGTAAAATATTATACTGTATAATACTCCCAAGTTATTCCAGTACCCTGCATCCGAAGCTTTCCGACTAAAATTTCGATAACATCGAGTAAGACGCCCACTCCATTTTCAGTGAGTGTAAAACTTCAATGTTTGAAAAATATGAACTTGCGAATTTGAATTTAGACACGAATAGACTCAGAATTCAATTAATTTTCAATATTTTCGATTAGAAGAAGTTCATCTGTCAAATTGCCGCGAAACCCTCTCATTAGAATTAAGTATAGTACCTGTAAAATACGCACCAGAACTTTTAAAGCTTTTTGAAAAAAAAATGCTAGCCCCTTTTTTTTTCTCGCTCAATTTTTCGGGGAGAAAATGTGCGCTTGATACTCTAGTAAATATGTACTGTTTGTCACTTTGTCTATAATCGAGAAATGTTCGTATGCAGGTCATACCGAATAAATAACTGGTCTTTAAAAATGAGCAATGAAATGTGGGCACTTCTCGGATTGAGATCATTTTATGCAGCATTTTCCGAGAAATTCAAATGCTAATACTTGAAAAAAGAAAACCAGCTGTCCTCCTGAAATGTTTCTTTTTTCATAACTGGAGAGGGAAATTCGGCATCATTCTCCTCTGGCGTGTCGAGAAGCTTTTGAGAACAGATACCGCGCGACGTGATCTCATTTCCGTGGCACAGTGACTCGGTCAATTTCATGCACCGTGGTTTAGTAATCCGAGCGAAGAAAGGGCCGATTGTCGTTAAAGTGAAACGAACAATCTCATGATCGACAGTGACAGTATGTTTAATTAGGGAAGAAAGTGGGCTTCAGTTGTTTCCCACGAACGGGGTTGGGTCGGAAGAAAGAATTGGGTCGCGTTTGTGGAAAAAATCTCCGTGACTGGACAGGGTCAGAGACGAGTGTGGAAACCTGGAAGGAGGTTATGTCAAGTATGATTGGGATAAACTTCACATGTTAATGCTCTGAATTCTTTTTTTGTTTGTTTTTCAACCCGGTCGTGTGAAGCTTTTGAAACGATGAAAGTTGTTCAATCCTAACCCTTGGAGATTATTTTTTTAAAATGAAGAATTGGAAAGTTATTCAATATTTATGCTGATTTGACATTTTTAACACAGCATTTCGCGTGTCGAAGTCGTTAATCCCACTGAATTGATTTCATGTTCATTTTTATCATTTCTTCCCCTGTTACCATTCCTGGGATTCTTTCTTTTTTTTATTGAATGCACTTAATATGACGTGGTCTAGATTTTTCAGGTATGTTTATGGACGGTTTGTTTTCTTCGAAAGCTGTCGTCGACTTATTTTAATTTTAAGTCGCAGGAAATGTAGTCAGTGAGATTGCATCACACTTCCGTTTCACTCCGAGGAGTTTCACTCAGAACAAAGGTTATTTTCCTGTGGTGTGATTTTATTTCAAAAGATGTCAATTCTTGAAGATTTGTTGTTGTGTTCAGGTGAATTGGATGAGGTTCAAATTATTATATTTTTCCTGAACCAGAACTTTCACTTAAAATCTGCCTTTGTCAACCTGAGAATGTTCCTCAAAGAAGTGGCCCACGTTTTCCAGTTGATTATTTTGTAGGCCGCTCTTTTTTCCCAAACAATATTGCAACATTTTTGTGTGGCGTATGAGAGAAATTATCAAGGACTCAGTGGCGTGAAAATGCGGACTTGTCTATTAATAATGGGGACAAAAAAATTTCAAGTGAAGGAAAATGGAATGGATGAAAATCCGAGCAAAGCGAAAGTACCCTGGGGTTTTCTTGGTGTTTTGCTGAGTTGCAGTGATGATGCGGGAATTTTCGTTCAGCGCAATTATTCTTTATACCGCAGACGTTTCCAAGACCAAATGCAATCACCGTTTCATTTGGAATTTACCGCATTTACCTGTCCGTAATTGTGAATTTTGTTTGTGGCAAACAAATCCTTTTCTTCGTACATTTTCGTCCAAAATTCAGGGAACGGTCGCAGTTTCCCTGCAATCGGAATAAATTTGCAGCTACTCCGTGATTTTTTGAAGTTAATTGAAGAATGTGGAAAACTTTGAAGAAATTGAGGATTAATTTAAGCTGGGAAAAGCTCAAGGAAGGTACAGTACGTTAATTTTTCCGTTGAGAATAAAACATGCCCTCATTAAATTATTATGGAGGGATTGCGTGAATTTATCGAGCCCGTAAGTAATTACGGAATACTGCGGATTTAATGTCCAAGTTCAGATTCCCTGTTATTGCTATACAGTAATTGAATCATCAGGATTGCGGCGTTATTTTTTTCTTTTCCGTGAACTTCGGGTCACTTTTACGGTCGTCGTCATCCCATCAGGACTTGTCCATACCGATCATTCCGATGGTTTTACGTTAGCCTGGTTTTATTCTCATTTTTATTTTATTTTATTTGTTTTGTATTTTTAGATCAGAATTTCATGGATCGTTACGCCCCATTTTTGCGATAAACTCGTGATTCCATTCGAGGACGTAGTCATCGAACATAGCTGTGCCTATTGTTGTTGCCTCGTGGTCTAGATTTTTTCCTTTATTGAGCTATCCGACGTACGACGAAGCTTTTCGGTGTAAGGAATTTTGATGTTCCCCCGGCGAGACGAATTCCGCGAATATCGAACATGATCTGTGTGTTATTGATGTGACACAGTTCGTGGCAATTTGCATATGTAGGTTGCGTTTTCGTTTTGATTTGCATTCGCATTTCTTTCTCTTTTTTTTGTCTTGCTTGTGCGCGTGCGCTGGGTCGTTGCGATTTAATCGCGACGGTTTCTGTCGTGGTCAGATTTAGAGTCTCGGGAGATGGATGTGGTACAGTTCTGGAAATTTTATTGCTGCCGCTTGCGCATCTCATTTTTTAGACTGTGTGACAGAAAAAGAAAAGAATTAGGGTGTTATTTTTGCTGTCATCCGACGAGAGATGGATGTTATTCTATGTGGAAAATTTTTTGTGTGGAGGATTGTGCTAGATATTTGGGATGTCGGAAAAGTCACTGTCAGTAGTGAAAAGTTCGACATCAGTATATTGTGCATGATACTGTACATTGCGCATTTTAAAATTTTTAAAGTTACACTGGCCACTTCCGATCTGTGTCTAACATTTCAAAGATTTGAAATGTGTCGGAAAGTAAATTTCACTTTTCAGATGAGAAACACGACGTTGATGATAATCGCGCGAAAAATGAGTGACAGGATTTCTGTTATAGTTTTTTTATGACAAGTTTAAACTTTTCTGTGGAAAAGTTTACGGTCGATGGATTTTATGCTTTTAATGAATGGACTCTCTTATCCAGTTTGACTTATACTTTCTCCAAATTAAAATGACGAATGAAAATCTTCGTCCTCGTTTTCCTAGATTTGAAATCTACCTGTGGCTAATTTTTTGAGTGAATGAAAGAAATTATTGTTCCAAGACTACGAAGAGATTTAAACTCTCCCTCGGGATAATGGTGATTATGGTCAAGGGATTTTTGCTTTGTTAGCATTGGATCTCTACTCGAGTTCGGAAGTGAAACTGTCTAAAGTACAATGCTCATCGATCACCTTCGTCCTTTTTTCCGAATGACGATCAAAAATATAACTATATTTCATTGATCAGGTGGAAAAGACAGCCTTGATAATTATGACGAGAAGAATTCGCGATCTTCTCCGGGCAAAAGTATCGAAATACTGTACTTTACCTATACAGGAAATGTTGTCCGTAAATTTCTTTCTTTTACCAACATTTTCCACCTCCCCTAGAAGAAATTCAAGTTTTCCGAATGACGATCACAAATAGAATTATATTTCATTGATCAGGTTAAAAGACAGCCTTGATAATTATGGCGAGAAGAATTCGCGATCTTCTCCGGGCAACAGTATCGAAATACTTTACCTATACCAGAAATGTTGTCCGTAAATTTCTTTCTTTTACCAACATTTTCCACCTCCTCTTGAAGAAATTCAAGTCGACGAATTTATTTTGTTGCGCATGTTATAATGTAAAATTAGCTAATGGTCTTCGTACTATTTTTTTTACAGATCTGAAATGAAGGTGGCACATTTTTCATTCATCAGATGTGAAATAAAACGTGAATAGAAAGCAAAAAAAAAAAAAAAAATGTCACGGTTGACAGAGTCGGCGTGTCTCGTCGCGTTTGCGACCACATTCGCGATCCTGTTCTCAACCCAGGCCTCAAAAGTCCCGACCACCTCACATTTGACCATCACCTACGACGACATCGTCGCCACGAACAAATCCTGCAAAGAAAAGGACTCATGCGAACTGCGGAAAACCGACCGGAAAATGGACCTCGTCGACTGGAAAGTGCGCAATTGTTTTTGCGATGCCCAGTGTCGCGATTACGGCGACTGTTGCGTCGACTCCAAGTTCTTCGACGCTGTCGAACAACGTCGGAATCGACAAGCCTTCTCCTGCGTGTCCCTGCGACAATTCGGCACCATCTACATGAAGGACTCGTGTCCCGAGGACTTTGACGACGACGAATACGTGGCCAAGTGTCGGGATGACGCGAGTCCGATTGAAGATCCGTTGGCAACCATGCCCGTGACGAGCAAAGCGACGACTCACACGTACAAGAATTACTATTGTGCAGCGTGTCACAATGACGTGACGAGTCCGATTGTGTGGGTACCACGATTGGAGTGCCCGTCGATCAAGTCTGGTGTTGTCGAGGACTTGACACCGTCGGTGGTGAGTCGGCAAGTGGATTTCGATCCCGTGTCGAAGCGATGGGGTGTGAGGACTGGTGAAGGCGAATTCCATGTGTGTCACATTGATCCCGTGATCCCGGAATTCATTGCACCGTATGTGAGGAGTTGTCGGATACATAATGGCACGTGCCCTGAAGGTACGGATGCTGACCTGGCTGCCAAATGTGATTCATACAGGTTAGTCAACCTTTTTGGTTTCTTTTTTCAACCTAACGAACTAACAATTTTTTTCAATTTTACGATGTGAGTCAAGGACATGTAAACCTACAGTACTTCTAGCTTGAACTGACGTGTGGTTATGCCTCGGCCCAAATGACACATGACGCCCTGAAAATGACGAGCGACGAATTAACCCTTTGCAATTTTTAAAATTTTTGTCACTGATTTTATTGACAGCAGACGGGGAGGATTAAAATGTGGCGATAATTCCTTCTTCGTCAAAATCGTTTGATGATAATTTCTCCTTGATTATCTCAAATTAAAATGGGTGAGGGGAGCACAATGGCGCCTCGACATACGGACGTTCCAAATTGCGCACAGTTCAACTCATGGATATTTCAAATCTTGAAAATCTGCCATGACCCATGGAAAATGTCTCAAGACACTGCCCAAATTTTCAGAAAAATGGAACGTTGCTTTTCTAAAATTCTGGAAATCTCGAACAAATTGAGCTGCTGCTACCATGGGCCTAAAGTAAAAATGATCTTAAATTGAATTCTGTAACTCCAATTTCTTAAACAGGCTACATTTGTGCTTCTCTTTTGAATGGAGTTTCTTGATGTGCAATATGCGTGCTTGATTTTGGCTTTTTGGACTCTTTTTCTTGCCAGAAGTGCAGAACTGTGCGGTGTGGTTTCTTTTTGCACGTAGGTTTCTGTGTTTTAAGGTGAAGGAAAGCATGTTAAATTTTGAAGGATTTTCCCCAATTCTTTGCCATATTCCTGCGTTTTAAGGTAGGGATAAGCATGTTAAATTTCGAAGGATTTTTCCCAATTTTTTGCCAAACATGGGATTATTAAAGTTTTACCATTGAAGTCTATAGGAGAACACAAGGAGACTTTCAAACATTCTAACATAATGGACAGTCTTGGAAGTAATTACCGTATTTACTCAAGTACCACATGCCCTCTGAGTAAGAGATGCATCAGGGCTTTTCAGTAGAAAATCTTGAAAAAATCCTATCCTCGAGTAAGACACATACCCCATTTTTGTGACTTTGAAAGCACAAATACTGCATTTTAAAAACAAGAACGCGTTATTTTAATTTAGAATGAATCGAATTTGAATACAACTGATTTGTCATTGAATCGATTTTTTGTTGAACTTGGTCCAAAATTTCCCATTATAATCAATCATGATCCACATCTAAACTTCCGCAAAATTTTAAAAATTTTATACCCATCTATTACGACGTGCCCCCTCTTTTTTTCCTCTTGAATTTGAGAGGGAAAAAAATTGCGCATGTTACTTGAGTAAATTGGTATGTCTGTATCTTGTAGGGCCCATTGCATTGACACAACCATCTTATACGAGGGTTCCAACAAAATTTATCGGAATAGAAATGAAAATGGTGTATAATTGAGCTGAAAAATTTATTCTTTAGGGAAAACATATTCTTTGGCACAAAAAAAACCCATTCCTGTTTGACCATTTTTTTTAATGTTTTGCAAACTTCACCCTGGTAGAGTTTTGCTCTCCACTCAAAAGATGAGGCTACAACAACTGAAAAACTGCAGGAATGGCGCCTCATCTTTTGGGTGGAGAGCAAAACTCTGCCAGGGTGACATTATGCAAAACAATAAAAAAATTTGTCAAACAGGGCTTATTTTTTTGTGCCAAAGAATTTTTTCAGCTCGATTATACGCCATTTTCATTCCTATTCCGAGAACTTTTGTTAGAACCCTCGTAATGTGAAGAAAGTGTGCCCACAAAAAAAATTGTACTCGAATAACTTCACGGAAGTGCATTGTCTTATTTCTCGTTGATTGTTTCCTTCGCAGCGCATACGTCTACAACTTCGAGCGGGCGTTCAGAAACGTGCACTGCGCCCAGTGCAACAACGTCACGCTCTCCAACCACCACTGCATCATGAACGACTTTTCCCGCGGGATTTTCGGCGAGGAATTCGACGTTGCTGCGTTCTCTGTCCTGCTCGACATCTCCCTCTCATCTGCCAGCCACGAATCCGCCAGCGTCGGCAAAGTCGCCATTTGCGAACCCAATCAGCTCTACGATCCGTTCTTCAAGCGCTGTCGAGACTTGTACCGGCCGAAACCGTCTGCCAAAAACGGCACGGATGCCTCTGGCAACGCCACAAACAACGCCTCCACTACCACGTGTCCGAAATTCACTCTGCTCGACACCGACTTTGACTTCGTCGCCAACGACAGCATCTTCGTCGCAATGTATAACAAGACTTATTCGAGCGGAGACTACGAAATTGTGAAACTCGGCGACGGGAAAAGAGCTGTGAGGATTTGCGCGGTCGGACTCGCAGACGCGGACAAGTTCACTCCGTTGATGGGCTACGTGAGCGCCATTTGCATTCTGGTGTCCATCTTGTGTCTCCTGTGTCACCTGGTCGCGACGGCGTTTGTCCCGGAGCTCAGGAACCTGTCGGGAAAGAACATGGCCGCCCTGAGCACCGCGTTACTCCTCGCCTACGTTTTCTTCCTCGCCGGACAATTCCGGACTGTGAAAGAGCACGTTTGCGCCGGTGTCGGTGCCGGGATGTATTTCTCGTTCCTGGCTGCGTTCTGTTGGATGAACTGCATGGCGTTCGATGTCTGGCGCAGTCTGAGACGAGCCACGAGTGAATTGCGTCTCTCGAGTGGATCTCAGTTCCGGAAATTCGCAGCGTATTCTGCGTATGCTTGGGGCCTGCCCGCCGTGTTGGTGGCAGTGGCGCTGGTGGCGGACTCGGCGCCGGGGGTGGCGTTGGCGTTGCGTCCGGGGTTCGGCGTGGCGTCGTGTTGGTTCGGCCACAGAACAGCGTTGCTGGTTTACTTTGCTGCGCCGTTGGCTGTGGTGATGGCGATGAACGTGGTTTTCTTCGGGCTGAGTGCCGGCATGATTTATGCGACGTCGGAGAGCTCGAGGAAGATCCGCACGGGATGCAACCCCACGAGGATTGACTTCAAGTTGTACACGAGGCTGGCGCTGATCATGGGGCTCACGTGGGTCGTGGGGCTGGTGGTGGGCGCGTTGGACGGACAGCTGGAGCCGCATTCGCTGCTGTTTTTTGCGCTCTGGTACCTGTTCATCGCCCTCAACGCTTTGCAGGTCAGTTTTCCCATGAGACGACGTATAGTCGAAACCTTGATGAGCTGCGACTTTTTTTGTTGTTGTTGAGGTTTTTCAGTTTTTGGCAGGTTAACCCTCAGGCAGCAAAGTTGGACTTTTTGTGACAGCGCTGAGAGATTAAAAATTAAAAAAAGGACAGTGTATCAAGGGCGAAGTCAAGGGAAAAGTCCTGGTGTTTTTGAAAGCAGGAAGTATTTTGTCTGAAAGGAGAAGAAGATGTGAACATGCCCCCCCCCCCCCCCCCCCCCAGAAAANCTTTGAGGAATGCACTAATGTCTCCCCCCCCCCCCCCCCCCCCCAAAAAAAAAAACTGGCTAGTGTCCCCCAACCTTTTTGGGCCCTCTGACTGGAAAAATTCCAAAAAAAAATTTTTGGACTGGCACATTTTCATAAAATTTGTGCAAACTCAAAAAAAAATTTGAAAGACGTAATGGGCAGGTATTAAAAAAAACATTCTGCTTTTTTGCAAAAAAGTGAGTTAAGAACCAATGAAGAAGCTATAGTGGCATTTTTTCAAAAAATTAGAGAGGTGGGATTGAAGAAAGGTTTCTCTGAATGAGAAATTGAAAGAATTTATTTTGTCAGGTGACGATTTGTCTGAAGTGTTACTAGGAGAAGAGCCAACTTTCATTTTTTCATTGGATATTTCAGCTGATATAGTCTTTCCAAAATTTCAGACAAAGATAACGTAATCCATTGACACTTTTGATAAGTTTCAATGTAACCTCATACAATACAGTACATTACTGTATTTACAAATTGGATGCACCGGTATTGGTTATACAGGAACATAATTCGACTTGAAATTGGTATCTGCGTTGCACGTTTTTTCACTGGTGGTTATTTCACGAAATCTTAGGGCAAATAATGGGAATGGTTTGGTGGGAAGGATTAAGTGAGATAGGTCATAAAGTCGGCAGCTGCATTCTTGTACAAGTAAAGGAAACGTATTCTTGCATTTCAGAAAAGCGGCCTGGGCTTATGTTCAGTGTAGTGAATACAATTAATGGTTTATTCCTTGATAACTCTGACGAATTTTTTTTTAAGGAAAACCAACCTGTACTTTGAAAAAGTAAATGCGAGAGGAAAGAGGCAGGAATAATTTCCATGGTTCGCGAAGATGTTGGAAATACTGAAAGGAGAATATTTATAAGAATTGCGTCTGAACTGGTGGTGAATAACAACTTCCAAGATATTGCATCCCTTTTCTTTGTCACATCCGAGATATTTTTGTGGCTTTGCCTCGAATTAAGGCTTTTCCTTTTTATTCCTGCTTCGAACTATTCGCACAAAAAATGCGTAAAATTCAGATTTACTGTTAGTGTGGTTTCTGTGTCATCATTTATCTTGATCAGTTTTCTCGTGCCTTGGTTTGTTCGTGCCAATCGAGTGACCTTTTTTATTCTTATCCACGCATTTTGTTATGCCGGTCTACTAATTGTTGTAAGCCCAACTATTCTCCAAGATAATCTCGCGTACCGCCGAAGATTTACCTTTAGGCTTCTGTTCTTGCCACACAGAAACACATTATGATAATACCGTACTGTATTTAATTGAGTACTCCATGTCCTCACACGTGACACTCTCCATTTCCGAGCTGCAAAATTAGGTAATAACTTAACCCTGCATATGACTTTCACCCTAGTTTTCAGTGAAGAATATTCTCAATTTAAGAATTACAACTATTATTAACGTATGCTCACTTGAAAGGAAAATTAAATTACTTTATTCAATTGCCTTTAATTTACTCGTGTTTTTAAAATAATTTTATCTGTAATGTGATCAAAGGATAATGCGCACAAGAATTATGGAAAAGGTACAGGAAACGTTCGCACGCAAGTAAGGTTTTATTTGCGCATCCGCCCCCCCCCCTATTTCCCCTTGATTTTTAGGTTAAAATGTCCGCTGTGTATTTGAGTAAATATTCCCTGTGCATTTCCTCTGCAGTACTTGAAGTAGCACTGCTAACGATTCACATGCAATCTGGTCAGAGAAAGCTTCTGTCCGGGTCCGACAGCAAAAATGTATGAAAGCCCTTGTTGTCGAGTATCCGAAGGATGGAGTCCAATGGTCTGCAACCCGCGGACCACCGGGAATTTTTTTTAGCGTAATGCATTTTATCAGAATTAGCAATGAAGTCTTTTATTTTCATCTTTAATTTTTGTGAAGACAATGGCAGCTGGAATTGTCTGATGGAAATTATGGAAATGTATGGAACTTTGCTAGTCCGCAAAAAATGTATGGAAATTCGTTGGTCCGCGAGCCAAAAGGTTGGGTATTACTGCTTTAGACGGAACATGGATGATGGCGTAACCCGCCTCTTGGCGTAACCCATCTGGTGGCTACTAAATCCCCTATTCATGACATTGTCACTGCGGGTGACAAGCATCCGACCTAGCTGGTTGACCCTTCACAACCATTGTCCCGAACGACGGTGGATGTATGGAAAGAAACGAAAGAAAATTGAAATGCCTAAAATGTTTTTCCAATTTTTTTTATAAATTTTTAATAAATAAATTTTGTATTCTGTTGAGAAAACTGAACAAATTGATACCAAACAAGTATTGTTTGGTATTGATTTTTGGTATTTTACTTGACATTCACAGAGTTTTTGATTTGCAGGCAATCATATACAGTTTGATTGCCTGCCAATTAACATGCGGATTACCCCGTTTTTTCGTAATAATCGTATCAAGTGCCTCGCCAACTGAAACATGCTTTTTTACCTCGTTGCTAATTCCATTCATTCCTCGCCACAGGGACTGTTCATCTTCGCCACGTTCACGTGCACCAAGAAGGTGCGGAACGGGTTCCGAGACCGCTGGCAAGCCCTGCAGCGTCGACGCGGCCCTGGCAAGGAATCCTTCTCCTGGTCCTTCTCCAACTCTGGATTATCGGAAGGCGGGAAAAAGCGCATCATAGAGTCCCAGGACTCCACGGACTCGCAATTGTCTGCCACCATGACTTCGGGTTCCGGTGCGAAGCTCGGGATGTCCCCGTCGGGTGCCGAGTAAATTTTAAAATGAATCGATGCAACAACAAAAAAGAAAGAAACGAGCAAGACTTATATGTTTGTCTGTCCGTTTCCTGTCTTCCTTCCTTCCTTCCGCGGCGCAAATCAGAATTGAAGCGTTGCTTCGGTTAATGGACTTGATCCGTCTCAGTGGATTTACTAAATGAAAAATTCAATTAACTAAATGTAACGGCTGATGGGGGGGGTTTCAGACACTCCCAAAAAATCGATCGTTTAAGGCGAATCCGTTCTGGATTCCTGAAAAATTTCCTTCGTGAATTCTTGAATAAATTACTGAATTAAAATGGTGTAAAGGTTAAGAAATGTAGTTGAAAAAAACACTCGGAAATGGGGAAATCGTTGCGCAACACGAATGAGAATAAAAAAAATAAAAGTTTATGCGTTTGAATAAATTAGGCCGTGTGCAAAATTTACCGCAGCAACGTGAATTTTCTGACAGGCTATGAATTTTGATGCAGTCCATTATCTAAAGCTGGGTCCATGCTGAAGGAATAAAAATAAAAGATCTAGAACCCCAATCCGCTGTGGAAAAAAAAACGTACAAAAATCCGTTTTCCGGGGAAAAGACTGATTTTTCTTTTGAACCCCGTTGCTCAAAAGAATCGAGAAAAAAAAATGTTCGATCTTTCTTCTGCACCAGGAAATTCGACGCGGTTTGCGTTTTATTTTTCGATATTGCGAAATTCGGGAGTAGTAAGAAAAGTTCCGCTATCGTGCATAATTTGAGGTAGAAGCTTGAGATTATTCACGAATTTTATTGCTGGTTATTTTTGCATTGTGATGTGTTCTGTGCCTCGTAACTTTCGTTTTCCTCCAATGGTAGGGAATCTGATTTCACGGTGTAAGCGTTTAACGCGATGTTCGGTCAGTGGATGTGAGCAGCATTTCTTTTAGCATGATAATCTCTCGAGGGTGGGCAAAAAAGCGGTATATTTCAATGCAGAAAAAAAGGGGATTTCTTTCCCTTCATGTTTGTTGCCGAAATTTGTGACATAACTTCGCTTTTGATGAAGATGATTTTATGATGGGAAAACGAACAAATGAACATGTTTTAAAGTCCAAGTGACCGCATTGTATGCGCAGAATTTTGACGGGAGGCTTTTATGTTTGAGGACTTGACAAAGACAATCTCATCATGCTTTTTTGTATGTATTTGGTAGCGCGGTTTTGTTTTTGCGCGATAGACACGGATTTCGTGTTTTTTTTGTCTCATAATTTTTGATTGAGAAAATATGAACAACTGAGAGGTTTGTTCGACTTCTAGTCTTGCCTGAAAAAGAGCTGCGTGATCAATCTCTGTCATATCAAAGAAAGAAGAAAAAAACTAGAACAAAAACTGGGAAAGCGTTCGATCATCTTATGAAAATCTCTCAGTCTGAAAATCTGATGCCTCGCTTCTGTGAAACTTATGTGAGCAGATATCCTGATAAAATTGAGTCGGTGGGGGGAAAAAAATCATGAATTTGTTTTGCATTCTGCTGCATATTTCGAGCGTTGTGAAAGACTGCTCTTCGTCGCGACTGAACTTGTCTGAGTTTTCATACTGAGAGGAGGAGGAAAAAGAAAGGAGGACGACTCGGTCTTGGTTTTTAAAGACGGGATTTTTTCATGTTGAAGCTTGATGCGTTTTGTGAGAATGTTGAACAAGGGCGATTTTTGCGGAAGAAACAAAAGACAAAAGCGTTTTTTTCTTTTGAGTTCCTGTATCACGTGTATTTCATTTCATCTCGAAAATCGCGGATCAGTTCTAATGCCAATTCACAGCAAACGCGTTTCCGTATTTCAGGAATCCTTCGGAATGAATTAAAGGGCACACAATAGTTGGGGATTATTTGACCCTCAAAAATGGTTTCTGCTTTTGCATAATTTCAAACTTTCGCGCACATGCCGAAAATAGAGACTTGAAATCGTCAAAAGGAATGTAAAGTGTTCGAAACCTTCAACCGTGATTGCATCACTGAAACATATTCATTCGTAATGAGATCAGACGAATAGAACTGAATTTGTAAGTCACACTCACTGCAGAATCTAATTAAGGCTCATTGTTGAATTTCTGGGAAAATCTTTGGATAAGTTTCAGTCCCGGAATTTTCTCACATACTTGGTACAGTATTCTTTTTCTTCTTTATTCGACCACGGAAACTGCATTCATCTTTATTCGACCGAGGAAACTTCATTCATCTTCATCAACTGAAAACAATGCTGGCATCTTATGCTTTCGGTTTCAGAAAAATGTAATTTTTTGAGCAAGTTTCTGCTGACGAGGAAAATTATTGTGTCTAAATGAAAAACTCAGATATTTTTAAATTTAGCGCTTTTTAAACTACAACACGTTAGTAAACTTTAAAATTTTATCAACCAAAAGACACTTGCACAATTGTTGGCCATCGAGGCAATAATATAAAACACTCATTATAAAGTTTGTTCCCCACTTTTTCAAATCATACTCTGATGATTAGATGTGGTCCAAGAGCACAATGCAAGATATGATCAATTCCTTCCATCATGAACCAAATGGTCTGCAATATATGAATTTGGTTTTCCAAATAGTCAAGATGAGTTTTAAAAAACTAAAGAGGAATTGGAAGACTGATGCAATAAGAATGCTTTTGCATGTTGACTAGTGTAGACGGAGAAACCATGGGTCCAGGAAAAACCGATGGCCATTCTCCACAGACATAACGAGACAACCGTGTGTCAAATATCTATGTACATAGACTTGTGCATTGCTCAAATGTTGCCAGAATGCCCAGTATCCAGGAAGCGGATATAGAGGGTACCATGGACCACTTGTGTTGTCCTCCTGGACTCCCAGCATTCATTATACTGTAACATTACATTAGCAACATGCATAAGTCAATGTCATGAAGGTAAAAAAAAATGGCAGAGACAGAGGAACCAAAGGGTCCAGGAAGTTGAGGATGCCATTTTTGACAGACATTCTGAGACAAACTTATGCCATGTATCTATGGCACAGACTCGTGCATATTTCAGATGCTGCCAGAATGCTGGGATATATCTAATACAAGTAGACTTGACAGAGAGTAACATTGGCCACTTGCATTTTCCTTCTGGACTCCCAATATTCTGTCTACATCTATGCACCATGCATAAGCCTATGTCAAGAAGGGCAAATTAGATTAGAGACAGATAAACCAAGGGTTCCAAAAAGTTGCAGAGGATGCCATTTTTCACAATAATGCTGAGAGTCTGAGAAACACATCATATATACTTTATATGCTCCAATCAACACCCTGGCATTTATTTGAAATTTTCAATTCAGCCTTTAATAGAGACTGGCATCTGTTATTAGAAACCAGCAATTATTTCCAACTTCTGAAACTGTAGAACAACAATGAATTTCCATTGATTTTTGGACTTATAGCAGAAATGCAAAAAAAAAGCTAATGGAAAGGTTTTCTTTGTTGAGTGTTTAAAACTATACAATTAACACCTGCACAATGGACTTCCTGCACAACAGACCACCTCCAGAGGCAGTTTGCCCTCTCATGCAATGGACTAAATATACATAACAGACTTCTGTTGGTTGGTATACAATTATTGGTAAAAAATTACAATTTTTGATTTGTTACATAATTGAATTGAATTTTGTTGTCTGTATTGTGCAAAGGATTATTAAGATCAACAAATGTCTTGGAATTTTTTCAACCCCCTCCCCTCTCTTTCACCTGAATACTACTATTAGAGGCCAGCAGCTACTATTCCCTTATTGAACCCACTTATAGAGACCAAGTGTTATTTATTGGAGCATTTACCATACCTAAACGCCAAATTCACAATATAGACGTAATACGCATGGTTCAGATGTCTATAGAATCCCTCGGACGAGTATCCGTGAAGCAGAATTAGCAGATGGAGAAGGTAAGTACCATTTGCGCACCGCCCATCATGCGCCTTATACATTAATTACGACATAGACTTGTGCATGGTGTAGACAGAGAGCCAGGAGTCCAAGAAGTAGAGGATTCCATTCGCCACGGACATTCCACCGAGTGCCAGAGCAGCTTCCCGATACCGCTTCAGGTCTGTCTTCACTTCCCGGATGTCGAATGGCAATGGTAACTCAGCTGGCAACACTTCCGCTGGCAACTTGTCCAACAGCCCGCCATCAAAGTCCGCCGGGCGGAAGTTTAACCAGTTGTGGATGTAAGTAGCACCGCACGTGAGGAAGAGGACTGCTCCAACCAACAGGTAAATGACCTCCTGTGTGCATATATGTAAGAAGGGACCAACAC